ATTCCACACTGCTGCACCCACCAAAGACTTTGCATATTGCTCCCCTGGGAGGACCTTCCTGTGTAAATCTGAGATAAAAGTTCAGCTCCAATATGCCTTTACTTGTTAGGACTCTTCAGTTCAGCTTCTCAAAATGAGGCTCGCTACTCCTCTTCTGGGACTGGTCATGCTCTGGAACTCTGGTGAGGACAGGGGAGAGATGAGAAGGGAGAGCAGTGGGGAAGGATAAACTTTGGTGACATCACTTCTTCCCCGTTTTTCCTGTTCACTTGTTATGTGCATGGGTATTTGTCCTCTGGGTAGGAGACTATGGTATTTAGATCTGTAAGAGTTAGGAGGCGTCCTCAAGCATCAGAAGTGCTGAAGGAATGAGAGAGAATCTGTCAAAATTTTGACAAAGGATGAGACTCCCTTAGGACTTGGAAATGTTTTGTTCTTTAAAAAAAAATTGATATTTGGTGGTATGAATCCAAATCACAAAATAATACTTATAATGTAGCTTGATATAAATAGTAGAAGGGAATCATGAAAATCACTCCTGATACTAGTATGTCACATTTTACTTTCGTCTTCTTATTTTAGTGTTCAGTCAGGATATTGTCCTGACGCAGAGTCCAGTCTCCTTGCCCGTCTCTCTTGGGGACTCAGCCACTATCAAGTGCAAGTCAAGTGAGAACCTTCCAGAAGATGAGGATGGAGACATCTTTTTACACTGGTACCAGCAGAAGCCAGGCCAGGCTCCACGGCTACTGATCTATACAGTTTCTAACCGGGAAACTGGGGTCCCAGACAGGTTCATTGGCAGTGGGTCGGGAACAGATTACATGCTTAAGATCAACAGAGTAGAGGCTGAAGATGCTGCAGTTTATTACTGCCAGCAAAATGAAAGATCCCCTCCCACAGTGGTATATCCTTGTACATAAACCTCTGTTGGCGGTGGCCCAGCTGTCCAATTTCGTGACCTGTGTGAGGAGCCACCAGAGCAGACGATCTGAGCCTGATTCTGAGGGGATGCTACAGACCTCAGGGGAATGGGCTGCAGCTGAGGGCTCTGGAGCATGAAAGCCTTGGCCACACCTAAGAAACTGCTTGTTTGTGGTCCCATCGGCCTTGACATGGTAGAGCCATAAGGTGAATGGAGAAGATCTAAGTGTCTCTGAGCAAGCAGACCTGAGACATGGATAGCTCATCCTAACTCACCACAGTTGTCAGTTAACATCCATCAGTGTGATGGCCAGACAAATGTAACAGATTTGTAGTAAAGCACGTTGATTCAAACCTGCTAGAGTTTAACAATTTGGAGAATTTTTCAGGATAACATTTCTATTGGATGTTATTCATAAATTGCCATCTTCTCATTTCTCCAATTTCTTACTTCTCCTTTATTACTCCTGAGCTTGTCTTTATTAATATGCCCAAGATAGTGTTCTACAAAAGCTGTCTGATGGGAGCATGGCTGAGAAAACTAAGGAAAATATTGGGTTTGAGTACCTGAAAATCAACTGTTCTAAATCCCTAGTTGCTGCAATATCCTAATGTCAAAAGTCTGTGATAATTCTCAGCTATCTTTTACATAGAGAAAAGAAACCAAAAAAAGAAAAACATTAAATTGAAAAAAAATTCCTTATATATAATCCAGTATGCCAGCAGAGCTCCTAGTGGAAAGAGAGGTTTTGGAATTCCAAATGTTGTGTTTTTAAACTGAGGACATAAACTGAAAAATGTGCAGCACAGAATTACTCCATATGCTTCTAAGAAGAAAGAAAATGACGTAAGATCGTTTCATAAGAATTTGGCCAACTACACAAAATGGGAACATGAAGGTCAGCAGGTCAGCTACTAATCAACTTACTTGTTCTCAGGCTAATGCTTGGTAGGACTGGGGATGTTTCTGGGGACTGAAGTTTGATATATGAATACAGAGAAATATCTTGTTTTGTGTAGAATGGCAGTATTCATGTCTATGCCTAGGACTTGTTCTAGTGTTATAGTTAGGATTTGGGTTTAAGATTATTGTTAAGGGTATGGCTCAACATAGGTTTAGGTGTTAGACCAGGGCTAAGGTTCAGGCATCTTTTAGTGCTAGTGTAAATATTCATATTTGAACAAAGGGACTATGCCTGACCGTCTCATTTGAACCCTGCATCATTGCACGTTTCTTAGGAAAGACATGCATCAGCAGCTCTTTGGCTTTATGATGATCTATGAAGAGAACTGAAGTCATGTTGTTCCATCTCAGTAAACCTAAAATAGCAGAGGAAAGCTTCCAAAACCTTTTTCTTCTACAAAAATTGGGCCAGCAGAGCCCATGTGTTTGCTGTTCTTCTCAGGTGTCATTCAGTCAGTTCCAAGTCATAGCAACCCTGTGTGTAACAGAAGGAAACACTTCCCAGACCTGTGCCATCCTCACAGCTGTTGCTCTGTTTGTGTCCATTGTTACTGTCACTGTGTCATTTCCTATTGTTAGGGGTCTTCCTACTTTTCAGTGATCCTTCAATTTAGCAAGCATATGTCCTTCTCCAGGGAATGACTCTTTCTGACAACCTGTCCACAGTATGAGAGACCACATCTCATCATCCTCGCTTGTAAGGAGAATTTAGGATGTACTTTTTCAAAGACAGATTTGCTTGTTCTTCTGGCAGTGCATGGTACTTTCAATATTTTTACCAGCATCATAACTTAAATGCAGTGATTCTTCTGATGTCTTCCTTTTTCATTGTACAGCTTTCTCATGCATCGGAGGTGGCTGAAAGTACCATAGCTTGGACCCAGGAAACTTTAGTCCTCACAGTGACATCTTTGCACTGTAGCAGTTTAAAGAGGACTTCTGCAGCAGGTTTGGTCAGTGCAATATGTATATTGAATTCTTGACTGCTGCTTCTATGAGTTTGATTGTTGGTCCATATAAAATGAAACCTCCAAAATGTCGATCTTTTCTCCACTTATAATGATGTTATTTATTGGCCCAACGATTTTCATTGCCTTTACCATGAGGTGCAATCACCTAAATGAAGTCTTTGATCTTTATTAGTAAGTATTTCAATTCCTCCTCACTTTCAGCAAGCAAGGCTATGTCATCTGCATATCCTTGATAATAAATCTTCTTTCAATCCTGATGCCATGTTCTTCTTCATTTAACCCAACTTCTCATATTATCTACTCTGCATACAGATTAAATCAATATGGCAAAAGGATATAACCACAACACACACCTTTCCTGATTTTAAACCATTCAGTATTCCCTCGTTTGTTTTTTTTAATGACTGCCTTTTGTCAATGTACAGGTTCCCCATGAGCACAATTCAGTGTTGTGGAATACCTATTCTTTGCAATGTTATCCATACTTTGTTATGATCCACAGTTGAATGTCTTTACACAAATGAACATCTTCCTGGTATTTTTTTGTATTCAGACAAGATCCATCTGATGTCAACAATGATATTCCTAGTTGATGGGCTCAACATACACTAATTGAAAAGTTAATTGTGTTCATCATGAAATTCAGTATTTCTAAATAAATAATCATTTCGAATGCAGTTCATTTCCTTAACCAGAGCAGGATAATATTCTCTGACTAAAAAATTGTGTTTCATCATTTTGACAGGTAACCGACATGCCCCACTCCTAGGTGTATTTTATCTAATATTACTATTAGATTTTGCAGCCTGATAATAGACATTTTTCCCTTTTAGATATTGCAGCATGGTAATAGACAGGATCTATCCACAGCACATACTTGCCATTTATTTCTAAAATGTAAAAATCTGATTCATTTTCAAATATTGATTGGCATGTCATTTGAGAAAATGAATTCACTTGTGTGAAATGTTTTGTTTATCTTTATGGTAATATAGCACAGAACTTATCATCTTTCAAACAGTATCTGCAATAGAATAAGAGGAATATACATTTCTAGCTAGATTACTAATGGGGTAAGAAGATCAACATAACCACAGAATAAATATGAGGGACAAAATGAAACTTGCATTTTAATAAAATCTCAAAATTATAGCTGAAATGAGAACTCAAAAACCTATAATTCCAGATACAAGAGGACCTTTTCTATTTGAAATGATATTCTCCCAACTTTTTGCTTTCTTGCTATATTGGTCCAAACTGTGTGCAGACAGAAGTTATGACTTGTCCTCAGCAAAGGTACACACCTAGGATCAGAGAATCCCAGTTTGTGGTTTCACAAGTTAACACATACCCATTTTCCCTGTAGGAGATTTGTGGAACTCTGTGTTAGGCTGAGTGGGATGAAGAAGGGAAACTGGGTCTGAAAGACAGAAATCTCAAACACCTCATTGTAATGTCCTGCCCCGCCCCCAAGCCTGAGCAGCTTATCCTTTGTACATGTCTGAATCATGGATATTTTGTCACTTCTTATTATGACAGGTTATGTTATAACAAAGCATTTCCACTGTTTCTCTTCCACATTGATTTAAGCCCTATGAACTTTATGGTTCCCGTGGCAATTCAGGTTGCATTTTTCCCAAACCCATTGATCCACTAAGTTTTGTTAGTTCTTTATACTGTGGTGGTTTCTGTGTTGCTGTGATGCTGGAAGCTTTGCCAGTAGTATTTTAAATATGAGCAGGGTTAACCAGGGTGGGCAGGTTTAAATGGAGTTTCCAGACTACAACAGATTAGGCAGAACAAGAGGCAACCATTTCTGAATGGCTACACACTGAAAACCTTACGAACAGCCATACAATATTGCTTGTTAAAGTCCCATTAAGATATGACCCTTAATGGGCTCAAGCGTACTAATGATGGTTAGAATGGCAAAGGACCCGCAGAATTTGCTTCTGCTCGGCATAGAGTTGCTATGAGTTGGAACTGACTTGATGACACCTAGCAACAATAACAATGACTTATTTATTGCAAGTACCTTAAAAAAAAAAACAAAAAAGGTGAATACACCTGTACCTCACCAGCAGGAAATCACAGGAAACAAATTGACTTTTTTTTGTGGGAACAGATGGTGGGAAATCTCATTCTCATCAGCCAAAACAAGGCCAGTGGCTGGCTGTGGAACAGAACATCAGTTGCTCATATGCAAGTGCAGGCTGAAACTCACAAAAATAAAACCAATTTAATGAGAGACAAAATCTGGCTGTAAATATGTCCCATATGAATTTAGAGACCATCTCAAGAACAGATTTGATTAGACACTAGTGAATGAAGACCAAAATAGTTTTGGGAAGAAAGTAAAAAATCATTTAAAAGATAGGAAAGAAAGAAAGAAAATATCAATATGGATGTCAGAAGAGACTCTGAAACTTGCTGTTGTTACACAGAGATATGGTAAAGTAAATGGAAGCAATGAGGAACTTAAAAGAGTTGAAATGAGAATTTCAAAGGGCAGTTTAAGAAGGCCAAGTAAAGTATTCTAATAGAATGTATAAAGGCCTGAAGTTATAAACCAAAAGGAAAGGTTATGCTCAGTATTTCTGAAACTGAAAGAACTGAAGAAAAATTTCAAGCTTTTGTTTGCAATACTGAAAGATTCTTTGTTGCACAGTAAAATAAGCACTGGGATTTTAACCAAAAGGTTGGTTCAAATGCATCAGCTGCTCTTTGGAAAACCCTTCTATACATAGTCAATATGACTCCTACCTAATACAATGGCACTTTAGCAACAAAACAACAACATAAGAAACATATTGAATGATGTAGAATCATCAAAAGATGATGAAATGAGTAGAAAGATCCACTGTATAAAAAATTAATTGTAGGTGTTCAACCATTTCAAGAGGTAGCATATGATCAGGTACTAAAGGAAGAAGTCAGATCAGCACTGAAAGCATTGATGAAAAACATCCAGGAACTGACAGAATATAAATTGAAATCTTTCAATAAACATATTCAGTATTGGAATCCATCACTCATCTATGCCAAGAAAATGCCAAGACAGCTC